ATTAATTTATGTTTATGTTATTATGGATAAACGATAACATATTATAATTTTCATTTTCGTTTACATTATGAATGTTCGTTACTATGTAATCTTGTATGTAAGATAATATAGTGTTTTAGTTTTAAGGACGGATATATTTTAAGTATTGATTTATAAATTCAGTGATATTAAATTCCCACTAGTAGCTATAAAAAGACAAGAAAGGATTCTTGAATTCTTCCTCACCATTTTTATAGGCTCTTGCATAATTTTAATTTATTAATTAATTTCATCTTTTTTTTGTTCTTGAAGAGAAAGCAACAATTTGAGAGGATGGGAAGTAACTAGAGCTATTGGCGTCTAGAGTTCGATTAGTTAGTGACATCAACTTCACTAAACAAAGTTCAACACAAATTTATTGTAATGCACAATATTTATGTATCATTGTATATGAAAGTTTAGACACATATTATTATTCCGACATGTAATATTTTAATTTTAGCATTCAAATATTCTTGTTATACTTTTAGCAGTTGTTTCTACTTTATATGTAAAGAGAGAATTGATATGTATTTTAATTTCTTTATTTTAGTAAGAATAAACTTGCCTTTTTTAAAACCAATATATTTAACTATTATATACTCCCTCCATCTCAATGAAAAAGTTTGAACAAATTAACATTGAATACACGTGCAAAGCACGTGTCTAGATACTAATAGTTTAACAAGCTTATACACATTTAAATTTATGCAGATAAATACAACATATCAGTGCAATCTTACAAATGAGGTCTAGTTCATATAACTACGAAGATAAGAAAATTATATTGATACGACCCTTTACCTTGTAGGATTTTCTTGCATCATGCTATTTTTCTTGTTCAACCAAGTTCCATATGGGAACAATCTAAATCAAAAGTTGAATTACAAAAATACCCCTTACCTATTAATTTATTTTCTTAAAATCATTTTAAAAATTATTTTTTCATTTAAAATCAACTTCATAACTACATCTCTTCATTTTCCTAACTTATCATCTTCTGATCATAAATAAATAATAAATAATAAATAATAAAAATTTATGAAAAGTAGAAAGCTCAAAAAATTAAAGTTGGATTACCATTTTACTCCTATACTAAATAAAAAAATTATAAAATATTTTAATAATTAAATATTAAATAATAATCATAAATTAATTTGTCATTTTTTCTTCACATAAAAAAAGAGAAATAAAACTTCTATTAAATTAGTAAATATAGTAAGTATATATATAAGTGGAACAAAAATATTTTAAAAATTGAATTATCAAAATGTCCATAAAATATTGAATGACATCAATATCCTTCTATCAAATATTATTCCTACGATAATATTGTACAAGGATATAAATATACACTTAGTTCAATGCATTAGGCTATTGAATATATATATATATATATATATATGAAAATACTCATTAATATTTTGTCATTTATTTAACTCCTATTTATGTTTTTTTTTTCTAAAAAGTAAGTGTATCTTCTAATAAATATAAATAAATAATAATCTAACAAATGAATGACCTAGATAAATTAAAAGACATGGAGCTATGTGTATTTAATTTCTGTAAATGCGTTATCTTTCAATTCGTAATGCAAAAAGTAAACATCTCTTTGTAGTAATAAACATATGGAGAATTGGAAAAGTTACTTGGTATATTCAATGTGGAGTAAATTATTTTGATCAATTCAATACAATATATTCATTTACTAAATGCTATAAATTGTTTATATATTGTGAAAAATCACAAGACAACTATTCCAATTCATCAAATTATTAGATTATCAATCCTACTTTGTGTAGGCACATTTTCTCATATTTATTTTATGTTTGTGTCTCTTTTTTCTTCTTCTGCTTATGCTCTATTTTTCTATTTACATTATAAGTTATTGTCTTTAATTTGACTTATTCATATATGTTTTCTAATTAGTTGAAAGTTCATCTTACTTGGGTACGCAAACGTTTGTATCATAGTTATTTCACCTCTTGCAACATAGAAATTTGTCATGGAAATATCAAATCAGGTAAGATTACTTTGTTTTTAATTATAACTTCTTGGGGTATCATGAAACTATATATTCTTGTTTGTGTAAATTTTGGTTAGGAATCAATTTACATATTTTAACTAATATTTTTTTGTTAAATTCACATATGATAGAACTAATAATTTTGAATTACGCAAGGGGTACACGTGCCTATAATAATTATGATTTATATACATTGATTAGATATTTGAGCAATTATTGTTTTTATCACTAATAATAACTATTCTTTTTGTAGGTGTACACCAAAAAATTGACAATGATCCACTAGCTATCATAAGAAAGGTATGTGTTGATCGAATTTATGTGCAATTTTTATAAAACACAATTCACATTCAATAACAAGTCCTTGACCTCTATGTGATTGTAATAAGGTGGAGGCTACATTTTCTTAGAAAGAAGACAAAAAATTTAGAACATGAAATATTTTGAACCAATAAGCGACACTTAAATTATGTGTTGTGACATATTAAAAAACTTTTATCAAGTTGAATACTTGATATATTAAAAAAAAATATAATTAAAATTGTTTGAATATTACTTTTGAAATTCATTTGATAGCAATATTTCAGCATGATGTACCTTCTACCGATAATAATCTTGATTGAATAGACTCACCATTCATTGGTTTGAACTTGTATATTTTCTCTTCAATTACTATGCAAGTTATTGCACAATGATCATTTACTAGCCATCTTAAGGAAGACATAGATTGATCAAATTTCTATATAACTTTTGCAAAACACTACTCTCATTCGACAATAACTTCTTAATACACATGTAAATGTGAAAAGGTGGCGACTACAATTTCTTAAAAAGAAGATGAAAAACTTAAGACAAAAAATATTTTTGAAATCGTATTTGACATTTAAATTATGAGTTGTGACATATTAAACAAAAGAAACTTTTATCAAATTGAATACTTGATATATTATAGGAATTGCATAATTGAAGTTATTTGTTTGAGCTTGTGTATTTCTCTTCAATTTTTGTACAACTTATCACACACTAATTATAATATTTTCAAAGTTCTTGTGTGGGGGAGGAGGGGGGTCGCGGGTAGGGGTTGCGTGGGGTGAAAAAATTTAAAATTGGAAATATTTTTTAAAAACAAACATTAAATTATTATTATTTTTTGGGGTGGGGGGTAGGGGTTGGCGGGAGGGGGAGTTGGGGTGAGGGTGGGGTAAAAAAATAAAAAAAAATTGAAGTTGAAAAATGTTTTTTTAAAATAAGCTTTAAATTAATTTTTTCAACAAAAAAAATTAATTTTTTCAACATTAAAATTGTAATTTGAAGTTGGAGAAAAGTTTTGGAAAATGTTTTCCTTAATTTGTGAAGGGAAGTCATTTTCCTTGAATTTGAGGAAAATGAGTTGATTTGGAAAATATTTTCCAAAACATTTAACCCAACCAAACATGAGAAACCTTCATACCAAACACACCCTTAGACTATTTTTTGAATATTGAAGATTGAAAACTCATGTATGAGTGTTGAGAGCTTGGTTAAGCTTTTGGTTGACTATTGTTTAGAAATGAGGGTTGCAAGGTGAATTTGATTCCCTTGAGGTCTTCGTAAGAGTTAGGTGCTATTGTAGGATTTATCGACTGAGGTCTTTGGGTTTAATATACCCTTACGTTGCTTTTGATTTCCTCTTTGTGTGTCTATCTAGTTATCTTTAATTTCTTGTCTTTTGATTTCCGCATTTTATTGAGAATTACATCATATATCGTTATAACAACTCCACACAATTTAGCATGAGACACACGTGCAACACACGTGCCCAGGACTAGTTAAATAATAAATAAAGACCAAATGAAAAGAAAATAGTGAGGTAACAATGTGATCACACCAAATCGATCGTTACATAAAATAGGTCTTTTCTTCGTTACCTAACTATGAGTTTAAACAATACAATACGATACAATAGAATTTAAGTAACCATCAAAACAAACATTGTATTTAAATTAAAAATACAATACAATGATAACAACCATCCAAACAAGGTAAATACGGGAGACAATATGTGAGAGTGTAGTTTTATTTAGTTGGGAAAATGGGAAAAAAAACACAAGTATACCATTTTAAAAAATAAAATAACACCTATATAACAATAGTTTACCTTTTTTTCAAATATAGCAGTAAAACTCATACAAAACACAATTTTTAAAAAAAGTATGTACGTGTGAAATCATGATTGTTGATGATATTTCCTTGACTTTCACTTTCTCCCAGATTGTTTTACAAACTTTACGATTCTCTCTTCTTCCATTACATAATTTGTTTCTCTTTCATCACGATGTAAAATTTAAAAAAATTCATCGTCAGATACATCACAATTATCATTGAACAACAAATTATCAGTTTAATTAGTTTCATTTCCCAACAATTCCAACACAATCTAAAAAAACACGAGGGCTCTTATAATTTCTTGTCTTTTCATCTTATTAGGGTAGATTGTATTCTGAATTCGGAGGGGTTGGAGAAGGGGAAGTGTATTTGTTCGTCCAATGTACTATAAATTACTAGTCTTCTAACGTCAAATGATGAAAAAAAAATATTTTAAAAAGTTAGAAGCGAAAAGCATCATATAATTAGGGATGGGGAGTAGTTTAATAATAAGTTATGAAATAAGAAGAAACATATGTTCATCATCAATAACGTACAACATACTAAAAAAATATGCATTATGAACGTACAACATATTAAAAAAAAACATGCATTATGAAAATATGTTATCACAATATAGTGTATTATATTGTATAAGAAATTATTACATGACCAACCATACATATGAACTGAATGACGTTTTATTCATACCATTTTTATTGCAAGGTTTAGAGTAGAAAGACTATTATTATTATATATCTTGCCACTATATATGCTTAACGATTTTGTAATATTACATGATAGATTGGTTGTGAGGCAATTGGCTAGTGACTTATTCATGGCCTCCACCTGGAGGGTTATATTCGCCAAATGGGGGTTTATACTTGTCATGTGGGGGATTGTGTTCGTCACTTGGAGGGTTGTATCCGTCATGTGGGGGCTTATAACTGTCACTTGAAGGCTTATATCCATTGTTATATTCATCATGTGGAGGTTCATATTCACCACCAGGAGATTTATATCCATCACCATGTTGTTTATATCCATTATATTCACCATGTGGGGGCTTATATTTATCATATGGGGGCTTATATTCGCCATTTGGAGGCTTATATCCATTGTTATATTCATCATGTAGAGGTTCATATTCACCACCAGGAGATTTATATCCATTGTTATATTCACCACGTGGGGGCTTATATTCGCCACTTGGAGGCTTATATCCGTTGTTATATTCATCATGTGGAGGTTTATATTCACCACCAGGAGATTTATATCCATTGTTATATTCACCATGTGGGGGCTTATATTCATCACTGGGAGGATTATATCTGTCACGTGGAGTGTTATATCCCCACCCAGGATATTTATATCCGTTGTTAAATTCACCATGTGGAGGTTTATATGCGTTGTTATAATCACCATATGGGGGTTTATATCCACTACCATGTGGAGGATAATATCTGCCACCAGGAAATTTATATCCATTCTTATATTCGCCACGTCTATCACCTAGATATCCGTCTATGTCATTATATCCATCATCGTGTACATCATTCTTATAATCCAATTTCATTGCTACAAATATCAAATGTGAAATTTAAAAATTAGCATTACATTCATATATATATCAAATAATTAGATAAGAAATCCACTATTTCAAAGAAATAAATAGTAAAAGGAAAAAATAATCTTACGGGTCTCAGCCAACTCTCTAGCTACAACCTCAAAGCTTATCATTGAAAAGATAGCCAAAAAAATGCCAAGAAATAAAAATGCCTTGAAACCCATCATTTTTTTTCTTCAAAGCTTAGTTATATTAATTAAAGGATGAAGAAATTGATGCAAACATTGGGTTATATTTATAATATAAGAATTGAATGTATTGGAGATTGATAAACTGTCACTTATCACTTATCTTGACCAACCGCCATGCCATATAATTGATTATATTTTCTTCATTTTAATTTTTTTTAATTTTTTTTTTTAATTGAACGTAGTATAGGACCACAATATTTATCTACATTTGTGATGTACACTAAATAAAATAACTTTTAATTGTTAAAAATAAAATAAGCATATATTATTTAATTATAATTTAATAATACTCTCTCCGTTTATTTTTACTTGTCGTTGTTTGACTTGGTACACCCCTTAAGAAAACAATTACTGATATATGTATTTTATCAAACTATTCCTATTAAATGTTGTTTAGTATTAGGTCTTGAAAAATGATATGTAGAATAAGTATTTAATGTCGAGGGTAAAATATGGAAAAAAATAATTATCTTTTCTTGATAGGTCAAAAATGACAAGTAAAAATAAAAGTCTATCTTAGAAATAATTGACAAGTAAAAGCAATAGAGGGAGTAATAAATATTTTGATAAACACATGTTTTATCCTATGGCGGGAGTGAATCTAATTTTACTAAACTAAAATCTCTAAGAGTAATAAAGAACTAAAAGTTATTATTAAATTTATCATAATGTAAATTTGTACATATTTTTTACGTAAATTTGTTTTTCTCAAGTTCTTTTTTTTTTGGGGAAATTTTGAATAAACGCAAACTACTACTCTAATACTAATAAAAGAACTTAAATCTTTACTTAAACACAAACTGCTATAACTATAAAGAATTCGAATACACGTTTTAAAATACGTAAATTTTAGAAGTTCCCTAAATCGATTCTAATTGCTAAGAAAATCTTTATTGCGTAAGTTTTCTACTTCATATATTTGAAGTATTGCTATCATTTTTGGTGGTAGGTGAGCGATTATGTATCTTATATCTTTAATTATACGTTTTAAATTTAAAATATTTGAGATAAGATTACTTTTGATAGACAACACTTGAATCCTAAAGTGAAACATTCCTGTTAGAGCCAAAAGTAGAGTTGAGACGTCGACTTTATCTTGAATCTAATATTTTTTATGTGAAGCAAAAACTTCATAAATAAGAATTTATTAAAATTGCAACAAATGAGATATCTAAATTCATAACTTTAAAAATACAATTAGCTCAATGCTAAGATCCTTGACTGTTCAACTCATAAAGTTTAAATTTCAAATTTGTCTCTATTTGTTATGTTAATTTGAATCAATTCATTTGCTTAAATGTGTTCATAGAACACATCAAAGTAACCAAAGTCGCTTACGTACATGCACTTACAAATTAGCCAGTCTAAAAACATAGATTTGATAGTAATTACTCCCTTCATTCCATATTAATTGAATTTTTGAGGTGTTTTACACCCTTTAAAAAAGGTAGATTAAGACATAAATTGAACATAGTTTTTCATTTTTACCCTTATTAATTATTGTCAAATTTCTGATTAAACTAACTAAATATTAATTAATCACTAATTCCAATATTAACTAATTAAGGGTAAAATTGAAAGAACACTCTAAATGTAGTCTTGAAAACTGAACAATTAAGTTAATTTAAAAAATGAAAAATGACTCAACAATTCAATTAATATGAAATGGAGGGAGTATCAAACAACACTAACGGATCATTTGGATATGTGATATAGAATCATAATTTCAAATCAAATTAATTTGAAATTGAAATTTTGTTTGTATATTTAATTTGAATTTCTCAAATTGTATTTTTTTTTTTTTTTTTGTATACAATTCAGCAAAAGAAAATGTGCCCAAATTAATTTATTGTGTTCTGTAATTAAAAATTATATCTTGTATGTAAAAATAATAGATTCATGTATTATAAATTAGCATCTCAAACACATTATTTATGTGATTTTTTTGACAGGAAAACATAGACTTCACAGTAAAATAATATATAAATTTATCTTTTGGAGAAGTGAAGAGATAATAGTGATACAAAACTAAAATGTAAAGCTAGATGAGGGATGAAACAGCAAAATTTGGTTTCCAAGTTACAAGCAAAGCAACCAACAAAGCCATTAAATTATATGCCCTTCAAGGGTGTTAGCTCATCATTAAATGTTCCCATGTTGAGAGCTCTAATTAACCACACTTGACTTTGATAAAACCCAAAAATTGAAAAAGAAAACACTTAAAAGAAATTAATCCCAGAAAGAGACTTGTACAGTTAAAACACAAGCCGCCTTCTGACTAGTTGGATGGTAGACCATTGAAAAACAACCCCAGCAAAGGAAGATTATCCCCAATTATCAGATTCTAGTCTCCAGTGCTAATATTATCTTCTTCCTTGGACCCTGAAACAACCAAAACGGAATAAAGCTTTCAATCAGCACGTAATAGAAAAGACCACTGCCTTCAAATGAAAAACAGAAAGTCACAATCTTCAAATGAATTCTCATACAAAATTATGATACTTACCATTGGTATTCCTATAGCTTTGAGATCTTCATCTGTCATGTGCACAAGAGCAGCCATATCAACCTGCAAGAAAAGAACAGGGAAAAGGTGAAATGCTGCAGGACTTCAAACTAAATTAAGAAGGAAAGAGCAGCAGTGATTTACATACTTCTTCAGCTTGAAATGTAATAGCATACTTCTCAAGACCCAATGACTGTAGAAAATTATCCACTGATTCTGCCTGCACCAAATGTATAAACCTTTATATATAAGAGCAGTCCACAGTGTACACTGGAATAGCAAATGAGCATGCTTGAGTAGTTTTCACCCGTTTTTGTTTATTATGTGATTAGCTGATAACATCAGGGTAAAGAACCAGAGTCCTGAGACGAGTAGAATGAGCACCGACAGCCACAACCACCGATTACACAGTAGTAAGAAATGCAGATCAGAAGGTCTAATTGCACATGAAAAATTAAAGAAGCTAAAGAAATATGGGATGTGCAGATCAAATGCAATACGCTCACCACACATAATCTCACTAAACAGCATTAAGGTAGCAATGAAAATGCTGCAAAACATGTGAAAGTGTGTTGAAAGACGTTGAATGGTAAGACTAGAAAGAAATCATAGGATCTATATGAAGTCTTATAGATAACAATAACAGTTCTAGTTTAATTCCTGCTTCTACTGTAAACCAGCACAGACGAAAGTGGAGTTGCCAAATGCGAGCATGAAAGGTGTGGGATTTGACTAGACAATGAAATTCACAAACGAGTTGGGGATAAACTTTGGACATAAGTTCACACCTGTGGTGCATGCCACAATGTTGTTAAAAGCTGGACTGAATTACAGAGACGTAACCTTCAAGGTAAGTGCAGTGTACATCGAGCACTTAGGTTTAGAAAACACTTATTAGACCCAAGTCGTGCACCAAGATTCCCACCTGATGAGGGTAGCATGAAATAATGAATATAACTAACAAACAGGCAAAGCACCAAAGGCCATGGCCTCGAGGTCGACGGCAATAAAGTGGATGAAAACCAAGGGAGACAGCTTTTAGTGATTTCTTCCCATATGCCAAAGCCTTGGTGGGGGAGATTTACTTGATATCTGCACCAGGGGAAGGTAGCAGGTATCTAGTAGAATAGTGTAGGCATGTGAAACTGGCCAGGACACCACTGTTCTGAAAAAAATTGAATCTACTTGACAAAATGATATATTAGTGATTGTAAATAGTAATTTAAAATGTAGCATGACAAAATTTATTCATTAATTTGAATTAGACACTTAAATAGTACTTTTGGATCAGAATCAGTGATTTTTGTGATTTCTGGACTAGATTGACATGATTTTTATTTCAAACATTTCTTCTCAATGCAGGCTTTTCAATATATAATTGTTGTTTGTAATCAAGGACAACTTTGGACATGTATGAGGAATATGATGTATTGCTTCCTTTATGTGCAAACTCCATGAGATACAAAAAGTACTAGGTTGTCAGTCCATATTACTCTTTCCAAACTATGATAGGCTTTTATTTTTTCTTTTAATTTTCTGAAAGAAAATTTCAGTAAATTTTGCTCCAAACAAAAAAACACTACGTCAATCCCTAGGAAATAGACCACATTAAATTTCAGCTTGAGGATGCCACCTGCATAAAACCACCTTATCAAGGAAATAGGGGGGAATTGTGGAGGGATAGAAACGGAAGAAGATACTCTTCTAAAACATCACCTGAAATAAAAAGGTTCTCTGGAGAAGAATCCGAGTAGTGTCGAGATCGAGCAGAGCTTTGAAATGCAGATATGGTGTGAAAGCCCTCCGGTGATGAAAGTCACTGGGCCAGATGAAGGCAATTTCAACCAGAACCCTAATCGCTATTTTGGAGAAGTTTCACAGTGTTTTGGAGATAGTAAGAGACTCACCCTATTCTGATGAAAGGTGTGTGTCGAAATCAGTTTTTGTAGGAGATAAAGAGTTAAATTCAGGGGTGAATCTAGGATTTCTAGATCATGGGTGCACCACTGAGAAAAATTTAGTAAGTGGGAACTGATACCTAGCCCTCAAAACCTTTTATGCTTTGACAATTCAGAGGCGAACCTAGAATTTCTTGAGCATGGGTGCACCACTAAAAGAAAGGGAAACAATGTATTAAGTGGGAATTGATCCCTAGTCCTCATGGTGAATAACTCAACATCCAACTAAGTGCACCTTTTGGCCTTCTTGTAGCGTGGGTGCCAGAATATTATATTTTATTTTATTTTTTGAGACAAGGGTAACTTCCTAGAATATTATATTATACCAATTTTAAAACATACATACATAAAATACCTTATTTTACGGAGACAAAATGGATTCACGTGGCCATATTTTGCATATAAATTAGCCCCTAGAGTTGATGACCAAGTGACAAGGCATGGGGAAGTCCCCTTTTTGAATCTGGCCAGTGGCCAACACCATAGGGTGAGGAGTATATCTGACTTCA